GCAGGCAGGCAGGCAGGCAGGCAGGCAGCGGCACGCCGCTGCATGCGCTTCGTCAGGGTCAATCGCAGAAACCAAAGTCAGAAGAATCAGAATCGGTCCGGCTTGGATCGAGGACGCATACCTTGGCTGGGCTACGCTTCTTGCTTGGGACGATTAATTGAGGCCCGCCATTCTTGAGTCACACCTCAACGATCGATATACCTGCGACTATATCGTTAGGCAAAAGCCTCAATTTAAGTGGAGCGGGTAATTTGCGGATTCGTGATTATTGTGATGCAAGCATTGCTTTTCGAAATACCCTACTTCCCCACAGTCTGATGAGCCTGCCACATGCAGCAGAGCACACTTCTTCAAACTTGTTTTGTGAAACTTGGCGGCCATCTGCGCGGGCACGGAACACCGCCCATGTACGGTCACGTCACGCCGAGCATGCCGGACGTTGAGTCCACATGTATTCAGACTCTTGACTCCTGACTCTTGACTCTGGACTGTGACTTGACTCCAAAGCTTGCTCCTGCCATTCACCATTTGACACGAGCATCGGCGCGTTATTCATGCATAAAGGCCTGATTCAAGTAAGTCCTGATCAAGGCAGACTAGATTATTATTGTCATCGTCACTGAGATGAGCGCCCGCGCAAAGATGAACGTCGCTTGCGGATCGCGGCGAGGGTAAGCAAGCGCAATTCACGATTCTGATTCAAGAATTGAACGCTTCCAGTGAGAGACTTGCTCGACCACGTGATCACCAACGAATGGAATGTTCTCGTCTCCAGTACTCGTCGGACTGCAGTTCCGCCTGCCAAAAATAGGTCTCGCAGCAACGCGCGTGTACGTATGCAAGCAAGATGCACGCTTGTGCGGCTGAGCAACCGAATCGTGAAAGTCGCCGACATGTTGCAGCTTCGTACCCGAGCAGCTAGCTTCACAGATCTCTTCTTGAGCTGACGCCCTGTACATGCCCTCGGATAGCGAGCGGATGGGATAGGTGCGTGGCGAAGTGGTGCAGAGAGTCGTGAGTGAGGGCGACGCATTCCAAACGGGAAGTCCAAGCAGGACCTCCTCCTGCCGCCGACAGAGAGATGTTGTCCATCAGCCAGCCACGGGGGCGCGGAGAGCCAAGCTGTTCGTCACGATGGACAGGCGAAGAGTGACAAAGTCGAGACAAGTCAAGTCAAGTTAAGAATCACGAATGTAGAGTAGTGTAGGTAGATCGTCTCCGAAACATCAGAACGGCAATTACGAATCGTTGAGGACAGATCTCCGAAGCGGGTCGATTCATCTGCCTTCGCATCGTTGCTGTGCGCGACGACGCTCGAACGATCGTAACTCGTACTTGACTCAATGTCCGCGTCCAAGGC